CCCGGGCCGGCTGTGTGCTTCAGTTGGGTTAGTAATACCCCAGGCCGGCTGTGTGCTTCAGTTGGGTTAGTAATACCCCGGTCCGGCTGTGTGCTTCAGTTGGGTTAGTAATACCCCGGTCCGGCTGTGTGCTTCAGTTGGGTTAGTAATACCCCGGGCCGGCTGCTTGCCTTGTGCCGTGACTCAGCCAGTGGCCAGATCGCTTGCTCCAGATTGCCTTGGCTACTTCACGCTCCATCCTGTCGCTGTTATACCAGCTGCACCCTGATTCCACAGGGGTGAGTCAGAGTGGCTTCGGAGGGAGCGCTGAGGCAGCTTTCTCCATGGAGGGCAACCTCGGCCCAGTGGAGCACTCGCACCTCTACCTGCAGAGGTTCTGGAGATGCCGGTCCCCCACCAAAAACTCATATCATGCCATGTTCATTTTGAGTAAAATCTAATATGTTATTTTCTCTGTAGTTTTCCTGCTGAAATATTCATTCAAGGGTCTTTTTGTGAATCTTCATTCGTGTCCACGAATATGCATATTTTCTGCGATGGTAAAATGGAAAAATATGGTGCAAGGCATGGTGTGTTTTCTTTCGTGGACACAGCGCGTCACCGCAGTCATGGTGCGGCCTGTCCGGACAGCGCTTCACGCCCAAGAAAATACCACAACACTCCGGATCATCCTGCCAAATTCCCAGTGTTTTTTTTGGATTTTATTCTGCCACTGGTGTGAAAAGGGCAATAGCATAGATCTGCGACATTTTAAACAGTGTGCTCTCTGATAGAGGCTGCAAGTAAAGTTCCTTGGGGGGGGGGGGGGTAGCTTTTTCTGTGTTCTGCACCCAGATTTTCCTTAAGCTGCCATGTCAGTAGCACCATGAATGGTACAGAAATGTACAGGCTAGAACCAGTATAGGTCACAGGTCATGCTGTGGCTGGGTCCAATGATGTGCTTCCCAGGTATAGAGGGGGGGCGATGGAAAGCCCCCAGACCTGTCAGGTGCTCCATGTATTTTTGCACGGTGCTTTATTGGGTCTGGAGGGCATGATGGGAGTTTACTGGTGACGAAAGGGACAGAGACTTTCCCCTACCGTTCTGTGTCCTGCCAGAGGAGGGTCGTTGCAGGTAAAGCAGGAGAGGTGGGGATGTCCTTCAGGTGGGGGGTCTCATTCACTTTGGAGTCACTCAGCCAGACCTGTGGGCCCACTAGAGCTGGAGGGGGTGCGTGATTGAATACGCCATTGGGGCAATAGAGGAAAGCACGTATCAGCTAACGAAGTTGGAGTTCTGTCACTCAAAACGGCTCATTCACAAGGCCTCTTTTTTACCAAAAGCTCCACTTTTATGCTTCACAGTATGTTTTCCACGAAAAAAGGAATTAATGAAGAAACGGCGTACCCTGTAATTGCTATTGAAACAATTAAGTACTTCTGTCCTACAAATGCATTCTGCATCACTGTGTTTTTTTCTATTATTATTTTTTTAGCCATCTTGCGTCGGATAGTGGAGAACCCACAAGCCTGAAACCTTTCATTCTGGCAAAGGCCGTTTTTTGGTCACCGCCAATAAAAGCATAAAAGCATTTATTTCCCACGTTTGTCAAATTAGCGCCGTACTCCACCTCCCATAGGAACCGCGGTTCATTAACCTCGCTGTGAAGTAGCACCGGTTTCCAGCGGTTACCATAACCCCTGCTCTGTTTCAATCTCAATTATAATAGAAGAATTAAATATCTAGCATTTTCAAAAAAAAAAAAAAAAAACAAAAAACCCGAGCTCTTAAATCCCTTGGCAGCAGCTCCGCGTGCCGGTAATCACGAGGGACGCGGGCTAACGCACGCCGCGCACTAACGAGGCAGAGCGTGCTGGTGAGCCCATCTTGATAATGTATGTAAAATGTGCAGAAACATGGAGCGGCGGGTCGCGGCGTTCTGGGGATTGGGGACCCCGCTGGATCCCCGCACCGCTATGCAGGACAGACAGCGATGCCGCCCATGTTTCTGGCTGGCTGTGCCAAGAGCGCTAAAGCGCGCAGATGTACGGCTCTGCTGAGCCCTGGTGTTCGTACCATACACCCTATGCCGTTTGTGGCGCTCGTGATTCATGACGCGGGTGGTTATTTTGCAATGAGCGAGATGTTGGGACTTTGGTCTCGTGTCACCCATCCGGCCTGCCCCTCAAATCTCTATGCCCCCATTTTGTACGTTGCTATTGTATGGGAATTGACTAACTTTGAACTAATCAGATTTAATTACCCCCCCCGTTGAGCTTTTTTGACAAATCTTTCAATTGAGCCACCTTAAGTTGTGGGTGTTCAAACCCTAAATGACCTTCCTCATCCTCTTCACCTCCCCCCTCCCATTCAGTAGAGCAGGTTTTCGAACCCTGGCAGTCGGGACGTTTATTGCCACTCTGTTCTATGCTTCATTTTCTAAGTGCTATAGTTGTATTTTAAAAATGTAGCTGTTGAATGCCAGAGTTTGCCACTCGAACATCAAAGTTTACTGCCGCTAAACGCCCCATCTGTTGTGTAGTACTTAAGGAGCTTGTTGAACAAGGCTGGTTCTCTGCAGACGTTGGATTGTTTTCCTGTTTTGTAAGGGTTTACATTTCTTCAGTGCAGAGACTCCAGGTATTTTCAGGATCCAGTCACCTTATGCGCTTTCTCAAAACCGTTTTCGGCTGAGCAACAAAATTCTTTTCATTTGGGTTAAAAGACAGACCGTTTACGTCGTGTTTGATAAGTGTTTTAGGCTCAGGAATCGCAGGCGCAACTTGTTTTTGATGCAGCGGTCAGGTATTCTTGCTGTATTCTTGAATTAAGTGGCTTTTTCTCGAGGAGGCTGAAGAAGAAACAGCTAACTGGTGGATGAAGGTGTCTACTGGGTTAGAAAACAAGGTGACAAGCCGTGGTATGAAAGTGGGCCAAAATAAAGCATTTTTTGTTGCTACGCTCCTGACGCAGTGCTGTCACTGGGCTCCGGGCTTCTCTCGGCACGTCCCATGTGACACCCCCCCACCCTGGAGAGGCAGGCCTCTGGCTTGACGGCGTCCCCCAGCAGTGGGAAGCCCGTGTGGGGACTTGTCAGCTCTTTGTTTGCTTGTTGTGTTGATGAACTTGGGGGTGGGGTGAGTGGGCCGCCTTGTTCCAGGATTCCCTCCAAATGAGTCAGTCAGCCCCCGGTCTAACCGACTGTTACCTTGGGAACGGGAGGCTGGGGGGGGGGGGGTGCTCCTGCTATAAGGTGGGTTTGCTGATGGAGTCAGTGACTGTTCGGGTCACTGTTAGATACGCAAGTGAGCATGAGCTTCTGAGTGGGGGGCCTTAGTAACCACCAAGCCTCCCCCCCCCTGAATGCCTGCAGCCCTATCAAGATGTCTGTGAGGCAGCAGTAATTGTTATGACTGAACACGGCGAGTGAGCAGGCGAAGGAGAGCGGCCAGCTGACAGCAGTCGCCTGCATGTGAGCCGCGTGTAACAGGATAATAAACGCCACTTTACATCGCTTTCGCACTTGCAGCCTCCAGCTCGGAGATTAAGAGCAGCTCCTGTGCTTATAGGCCATGAGACGCGGTTCAAGGTGTAAGTTACTGCTGCCATTGGCACTGAGAGCAGCTCTGTCTGCTGTACCCTCCGCAGGGGGATGCCTGACATCCAGTGGATGAACCTTGACCCACTGAAACTGATGGAGGAGCTGAGCCAGTTCACCTCGCTGGAGGGCTTCAGGGAGATGCTGGAGAAGGCCCAAGTGGGCCATGCCTACATGAACCGGCCTTGCCTGGACCCAGAGGACCCCGACTGTCCTCAGAGTGCCCCTAACAAGGAGCTGCGTCAGGTAGCTGAAGACTCCCTCACTATCATTTCTTCAGCATCCTGAATGACGTGTTCAGTGTGTGCGTGTCTCACTGTTGCACGTGGTTGTGACTTCCTGTTCAGTGTGTGCATGTCTCGCTGTTGCACGTGGTTGTGACTTCCTGTTCAGTGTGTGCATGTCTCGCTGTTGCACGTGGCTGTGA